ATGTCATTGGTCACATATTTTCAAATTTGTTGGTCACGGATTATTTTTCAGTCACATATTGTCAAATTTTTAGGTCACGGTTAAATACTTGTGTACATACCACTGGCACTACCACTTCAGCCACTTTTGACCACCCTCACCCCATCGTCGCCATCACCACCACGACCTCACGACAATCAGTACAAACACCACCATCGCAACAACCACCACGTCGACTCTGTCGACAGCAACGTCAAACGCACAAAGAGGCGAGGGTGATAGGGGTAGGGGTAAGGGAAGTAGGGAGAAGGGAAGATGAAGGAAACGTGAGAGAGAGAGAGATAGGGGAATGGATGAGAGATAAATTAGGTTATGAATTAGAGTTTTAATATAGTACCTGATTTTTAAATAAATAAATTGTAGATCTGATTTTTAAAAACCAATTTTTAAACGAGTAATGCTATTCATAGTCGCTCACTGCAGAGTCGTCATATGTGGCACACACATGGCATGTAATTATTTGATGTATTAATGCTGTAGTTTTTTTACCACATTAATGCATTAAATACACACTTGACGTGTTTGTGTTACATAAGACGACTGCTGCAGTGAGCGACTGCAAATAGCATTATTCTTTTTAAACACCTGATTTTTTGTAATTTTAGCACACTTGCGAGTGAGATGTTTAACCCTTGAACATAAAGCCCAATTTCTAATACGGCCCGCCCAAATAGCTTTACAGCCATTTTTCTCTTTTCCAATAATAGCATTCTTTTTCACGGCAAACAGCTCAATATCAACCCCTCGTGCTCTCGTGCATTTCTCGCTCTAATTAGGGTTTATCCGAGGGGGATTTCAATTCATCCACTCTTTGTACTGAAAAATCTTCACTCAATCACCCATGGCGAAACCCGGCCGAGGTCGCCCGGCTTCACCGTCAGGCTCCTCGTCCCGCTCCCCTTCGCGTTCGATTTCTCGCTCTCCTTCAACTTCACGCTCGCGCTCCTACTCTGGGTCCAGCTCGCGCTCACGGTCCCGATCTCCTCCACGTCATCGCTCTCGCTCCAAATCATTCACCTCTTCCTCTCCTTCTCGTAGTGTCAGCTCTCGCAGCCCTAGCCCCCCTCAGAAAAAAAGGTTTGAACTTTTTTGTTTACTCAACTTGTATTTTAATATCTAGGTGTATACATTCTTTATATTCAAAATGTTGAAATTTTGAAGTTCAGTTAACGTTTCTTGATATTTATATTTGGTTGCTGAGAAGCAAAAAGGCAAAAAGATTAATTACGTAAATATTTATGTTGTTATGAGGGAAATTTGATTTTTTCATTTCTTTTGGTCTGGTTTTATTATAAAGTTAGTCTAGACGGCATAATACTTCGGGAAATTCAATGCAGATTTCTTTTCCTTGTTCTTAATAGAGCCTAATATATTTACGCCTAAATTATTTTGGAAGAAGGAAGTAACATTCAGCGGGGATGGGCCAAACTTAAAAGTTCTTAAAATTAGATTTTCCAACAAAAATGCACTTGTTCTCACTCTTGCACCCCCCTGAGAAACATAGCTACCGATTGGATTTTTGGTGCTCAATCTTGTAATTAGGTCAAATATTTTTGTAAGTTGAAGGAAGACTGGCTCCGCATGTTTTTTTTTTTTTGGTCTTTCCATCTATTCTTCCTCGCACCCTTTTGTGGGTATTTAATTGAAATGTTTTAGGTTTATGCATCGTTCGTATCTTTCTAATTGACCGACGTGATATTGACTGACCTTCTCGTAAATGTGTTATTTCAGTCCTGCTGAAGAAGCTAAGCGAGGTCGCTCTCCACCACCATCTAAGAAAACTTCCCCACTGCCAAGGTGACATTATGTTCAAATTAATGCTTGACTAATAAGATAGAAAGGGGCAAGCCAAACCCCACTCCTAACACGTAGAAGGATGAGTCCTTTCCTTCTGTGTATTCTGTTCCCGCTTTCATCTCTTCCCTATTTCTGCGTCTTTCCTCAAGTCCTCAAAGAACAAGAGGACATACTCATGTGGAACCCCTTCTGGCGAGGCTTTGGGATCTTCTGTAATTAACAATCCCCACATTGTTATTCATGATCATTTTTGTTGTTGTTCTGGTTACTGTTTGGACATTCCCCTTTTAAAACCGCTGTAAATTTCAAATTACTCTCAATATGGAACTTATCGAGCTCTATGGCAAGGAAACTTGCGTTGTAAATTTTTAGCGAGCTGGAGCTTTTATGTAATTGATACTGTTATGATTTAAACGAATATAATAGTATGACAATATGAAAATTAGATCAAACAAGAATACAAGATTTACATGGTAAAATTATATCACGGGCAGGAGAGGATAATTTTATTAATATCAATAATGGAGGATTACAAATGATTGTGTAGAATGTAAGAATTGATTTTTCTAGAGATTTACTCATCATATATTTATAGTGCAAAGAAAAGCCCAAGATATGGTGGAGTTCAACTATAATAAGTCCATGCAATAATGGAGTATTTGGGATAAGATAGGATTCAAAAAATTGCCAAAATCGTGATCTGATAAAAAATTGGATAAGAAATCCGCTCTTGCAGTGGTCTTGTGGAGGTTGAGCGGTTGTTGGCTGCTTAAGTGGCCTCCTCGCGGCTTGCGAGCGCTGGCTTCCTTGTTTTGAGCACTTAGCGAGCGTTGGGCCCGATTCTTCCTTCTCTTTGCACGATTTCTCCTCTCCTATTGTGACTTGGACACTTTCATGACTTCTCCAAGTCCAAAACAAATTCCAAATTCCCGAATTAATTTCAACTAAAATTCACAAATAGACTTCAACTAGAATTCTTAACTGATATTTAAATAGAATTTGGGTCACATTCTAACAGATACCTATATTACTATTACTATTACTGTTACTGTACTTGTTTGTACCACAATTTCAAATTTATTTATGAACATACTAATTGTTTAAGTTATCTTTCAATATAAGCTCCACATGTACTGTATATTAAATGGGTTCATCTTATGTCATTTAACTTTAGTTTGGTTATTCACTTCTAGGTTTTTGATCTGCTGCTTATTTTGTAGTCACTTTTGTCTGAAGCTGAATCTGTCCTCTTAAACTTGTGTAGCATTTCTCCATGGCTTAGTTTTACTTTATTTTCTATGGTTATGCTGTTATTTCTGATTGCTTACTATCATGGATGGCTTATTATGCTGGTTTTGTTCTATGTTTCCAGGAAAGCTTCTCCAATTCCTGAGTCACTCATACTTCATGTTGATCAGCTCAGTAGAAACGTAAACGAAAACCACCTAAAAGAAATATTTGGTACGCTCACTTCTTTTTTATCTGCTGAATTCTGGTAGTTGGAAGCTTTTGTTGAATACTGATTGTGCTAGGTTAGAACAGTTATCCTGGAGCTAGTGAAATTGACTAATACAGTGAACTCTATAAAATAATGTTGGGACTGCAAAAAATTATTACTTTAGAGGGTTATTAAATTATCGATCAATGAATAATTTATTATTTTATTGATTGGTTACGTGAAGTCATTCTAGTCAACACTACAAAAATGATAGGGATGATGAGTACATTTTGTATTAATTCTAGTGAAAATGATACAACGATGGAATAGCCTATTGTCGAAGAGATTACTGAATATGCACGCAAAAGATGATCATGACTTATATGATAGTTGTGTTTTACCAATTGTTTCTCCAAAAGTTTGAGTGCAAAGAATTTAGAAAAAAGAAAAGAAAATTGAATTGAAAAATAAAAGTTGTCTGGTAAAAAGTTGCATTGTAAAAACTTTACTTATTCAGTCAATTAGTTGGTGGCGTAAACAAAATTTATTTTGTTTTAAAAACTAATAGGCAGCTTTTGTGGTAGTTTTCTTATTTGCTCATTCATGCAGGTTGTGTTTCTTTTCCTTTATCTCGCTCCCTCTTTTGTAGGTAATTTCGGTGAAATTGTAAATGTACGACTGGCAATTGATCACGTCGTAAGTTGTTAAATTCCCATATCTGTGAAGGTGTCTGAACCATTTTTTACCTTTTAATTTTGGATTTGTTAAACAATTGCTCTGTTGTAGGTTAACATTCCGAAAGGATTTGCATATGTTGAGTTCAAGAGTAGAACTGATGCCGAGAAAGCAATGTTATATATGGATGGCGTATGATTTCTTCAAGATGCTCTGCTGTAGTGATCAGTTATACTTCTTTACTGTGGTGAAAATCAATCTGCTCTACTGATGTTAATGCAGGCCCAAATTGATGGGAAAGTTGTTCGAGCCAAGTTTACATTACCTGAGCGAAAGAAGGCTTCTTCGCCTCCTAAAGCTGTTGCAACTACTTCGAGGAGAGATGCCCCTAAAGCTGATGATGTTACTGCTGATGCTGACAGAGATGGACTAAAGCGACCTAGAGAAGGTATGATCATTCTGTATGCCCAATATGGAACAGTATATTATTCTTCCTTCTGTTACTGATATTTGTTTTAGTAAATTTCCTCAATATCATCAGCATCTCCTCGGCGCAAACTTCTTTCTCCACCTAGAAGGAGATCTCCTATAGCACGCAGAGGTTCTCCCAGACGAGGACCAGATTCTCCTCCCCGGCGACGCGCAGATTCTCCGGTTCGTCGCCGAGTAGATACTGCTTTTCGACGGGGTGACTCACCGCCTCTCAGGAGGAGGCCTGCATCTCCTGCAAGAGGCCGTTCTCCCTCCTCTCCACCAAGGCGTTATCGATCACCTCCCAGGTTAGGGTCTTCACTCTTCTCTCATTGAGTTGATTGCCTTCACTTATTATCTTTTATTAGGGGGCTGCTTTTGACTTGTCTAATTTTGAATAGGGCATCTCCCCGTAGGGTACGTGGTAGCCCTGTTCGACGACGATCTCCACCTCCTCCAAGGCGGCGGTATGTTAAACTGCTCGTCACAGTGTCATCATCACCAGCATTCTTTTTAGATAATTTCACGAGAAAAATATTACATTTATTAATAGAATATGTTGTCCAATTTGATGTATTAACTGCTGTTAGCTTTGTTGATTTAAATATGCTATTCAGTTACTCTTGAGGAACATGCATACCATTAGAGTGTGAGGACAAACATGTGGGTCTTTCTTTAATAGGTTTAATGGCAAACAAAGTCTAGCATTCGAAGGACATAGAATTCATGGCTCTCTTTGTTAGTTTTAGTGCTGCGCAGATCAGTAAATATGGGACTAGAAGAGATTAGGATAGCTGATAAATTGGAGCCGGAAGAGGAAAATTTGCTGCTGCTTTAAGGCGTCGAGACGGGACCTTAGAACAGTTCTCTACTTGTTTAGGAGATTCGATTACTTTAGGTCACTAGGGATTGTCTGGGATCATATAAGAGGCTAGGTGTCAATTTTAAATGCTGAAAAGTCAAGAAGCTAGCAGAGGCTAGGGGCCCAGAATGTTCTGACGGTTTTTGGTTTGGTTAGACGTGACTGACCCTAAAAATTAAAATGAATATAATTGGATATTAAAGAAATTTATTTTTTCAGGTAATATAATATGTTCAGTTAGATTTATTGTCAGCCGTAGACTAGGTTGGTGGAAATAAACTTTTCAATTACTTGTGGAACATTGATTATGCCCTTGCCATTAAAGCTATCAGTCTGGAATTTGCGTTATATTCAAATTATTTTCCTGTACTTGTATATAGGCAATGTTTCTTGAAACAACAATAGTTTTGCTATCAATTTTGCATCATGCCTCCTACCGTGTTTTATTTTGTCCTCTGTAATCATGG